TATAAAAATTAATATTTATAAAAATGTGAGATAAATTTTGACTATTTTTAATAAAATATGTTCACCTTCTACACGACATCTTTGAGTTTGACCGAAAATTATGATCCGACAGGGTAGGATTTTTATCGCATCTACTTTCTCAAAATTAATTGATTTTTTTATTTTATAAAATGATTGAATATGTTTCAGTCACTATCTTCGAGAGGAATCTGCAACAAACCCAAAAAGAAAGAAGGATTAAAAATGAACGAAGGTGGATGACAAGTGCATGCACTGTGCACACCTAAAGAGATAGGGGTGAATATTGTATAGGTAGAGATGTTGACAAATGTGAGAGGTGTTGAAAAAGGAGGCATATTGTGCAAAACAAGTCAATAAAATAAAGGACAAAGGAAGCCAAGTTATTGGCGTGAAAGAGACGAGGTAGCAATTATTTTCTTATATTTGTTTTTTATTTATGGAGAAATGGGCAGACATAAAATCTTTACCCACCGAAAAAGTTAGGCGCAAATGTGGGGTGGAAAAGATAAACCAAGAGGTGAGAGAGAGAGTAGACACCCATCGCGTTGAAAAGACAAGAGAGTAGAGCCAGAGCACTGTCAAGTATTGCATCTACAAAACAGAATGCCTTTAGTGAGGGCAACTTATGGTCAAAAAAGGTGTTTTGCCGTGGAAATGCTCTTTTTCGACGGCAAATTGCCGTCAGAAGTCGTCGGAAAAACGCTGGTTGCAAATAGTTTTTTTCCGACCAGTCCGTCGGAAATAATGTATTTCCAACGCCCATGTTTCGTCAATATTGCTTGAATTTGTGTCGGAAATGAATTTACAAAACGGCTATACAAATTCATTTCCAACCATAAGTTTGGTCGCAAATACTTATGCAACAATCGGAAATAGTTTTTTCTCGAGGTCTTTTGTTATGCAACGCTATATATTTTCGACCAATGGCTATTTGTCAAAAATAGTATTTCCGACCCTAAATTACTATTTGTGATCAATATAATTTATCGGAATTGTGCATTTCCAACATGGAAGTGTGTCGAAAAAAATGTTTTTCCAACTACCTTTATAGCAATTATCAAGAGTAAAAAGTCGTCGGAATGTACGAATATTTTGTAAAAGAAATATAAAAAATATTTCCAATGAGAAATTGTTGTCCGAAAAATAATATCTATTATCATTAGGAAAAGACCAATGTAACAAATTCCAAAAACTCATTACAATCCTAAGATATATCCTATATCAATAGTCCTCAAAGCCCTCTTCCAACCAAATAAGGTGTTTGAATGCAGCTTGATCAAGTCTTCCAGTGACTTGTATATAAATACGGCTTCCTTGAAATGCAAAACCTTATCCCATGATTCAAGCACATCTACATACAAAAAGTTATGATCCTGAATTGAAAACATATAAATATTCTTTTGGATGAAAAAAAATATTATGAGGAATCAAAAAACATAACACATGCCTTAACTGAAATAAAGACACAAGTGATTGAACAAAATTTTACACATAACAGAAAGTGGCTTCTTATTTCAATGTTATTTCAAACTTAAACTCAAGATTTGAATCATGATAATCACAAATTGATCTTTATGAGGTTAAAAAAACGATTAAGAGTTTACTAACATACCTAAAACATGACAAAATGGATCAAATAAAGAACTGAGGCAACAAAACTAGTTAAATAATAATAAAAGAGTACACATAGAATAGAAGAACCGTTGAAGAAATAACATGGTAATCACAGAGTGCTCCTCATGTCACTAACCTGTATCGATCAACAAAACAACAATATTATAGCATTCCAGAAACACACTGTTAGTGTAAGAGAACATGTGCTAGTGTAAGAGAGACAAGTCTATAAAAGTCTTTTAATATGCTAAGAAAATAACAAAATAATCAATCCTGAGTATAGAGGTGTTGAAGTATGCCCCAACCTATGTCTCTCAGTGTGAAAACCCCACTAGTCAATGGCCCTCCGAAAAAGTCCAAAAGCCAAAACTTGACCCAGTTAAAAGTATACATAATAGTAGTTCAAAAAGTCCTAAAGTCCTAATGGACTGGAGTTAATTACATGGTCCCTTAAGCTTCTTGGTCCTTTCATGAAAGTTTAACAGAACTTGAGATCAGAAATTCTTAAACTTATCAACAAAGGAAAATAACACTAATTCCATATAATTAATTCATGCTAAGGAAATATGAACCCCACTCCAATTCCATTACATTTTATTTATGCTAAGAAAATAACAAAATAATCAATCCTGAGTATAGAGGTGTTGAAGTATGCCCCAACCTATGTCTCTCAGTGTGAAAACCCCACCAGTCAATGGCCCTCCGAAAAAGTCCAAAAGCCAAAACTTGACCTAGTTAAAAGTATACATAATAGTAGTTCAAAAATCCTTTATACTATGAAGTATTAAAAAGTTCTCTTCTTTATGACATTTATACAAGCAGCTAGAGCACAAAATAAACAGGGGGCTACTTACAAGTCCCAACATTCAGAAATCCCTAAACTCCCATTCTCGTAAGCACTTGTCAAGCTCTGCTTCATCCCGAGAATAGGTGTGCACAGCCACACCCAATCCAGCTAGGTCTTTCACCATGACATACGTGAATTGAAAAGAGAGCAAGACCAAAATCCATATAATCAATTTCAACAAAAAAACTTAGTTTAGAAGAAAACCATAAGACCAATTGAAAAACTTTCTAAGAAAATGAGAGAGAGAGAGAGAGAGAGATAGAGAAAGAGAGAGAGAGAGACCTTCCACGAGTACCAGAGGTGACGAGGGCAGTCTTTCCCTTGAAAGAGCATCTGGAACTTTGTAAGGCTACATGAAAAGAAATAGCGAGAGAGAGATGCAAACGATATAGGGAGAGGTGCTTACCCGCGAGGAAGAGAAGTACTTACCCACGAGGAAGAGAGGTTCTCCGTTGACGATGAGGAAGAGGAAGATCGAGGTTGAGTTTTCCTTGC